ACTAGATGAAGCCTTAATAAATTAATAAACTCATTATATTTTGCATAAAGCCAGCCTTATTAATTACAAAACAGAGCATTTGATTAGTAATCGAAATGATGCGTTAATGCTCATCAGTAGTTAACAAAATACTACTACTATTTTTCTGTAATTTAATTGTAATTAAATAATAAATAACAAGATACTCAACAGCGAACGGAATTAAGAACGGTAAATAATTCGTTCTGCTCAGGAAGTTTAAAATGCTAGTCATTAGTTACTAAAATGCTATGTTCCAGCAATTCAATCTTTTCTTGGAAGAAATACAAGCGCAGATCTCAAAAACTGAAAGTCTGAAAATCAAGAGGAGCTCACCGGTAAAGACAGAGCAATAAGGAGGTTATGATTGACGAAACTCAAGTGCCGTAGTGAGTCGGAGGAGATGATCGGAGAGATTCCTGCGCGGAGAAGAGAGATCGGAAGAGAGTGAAATTGGCGGATTTAGAGCTATTTTTAAAGTTGAAAAATGCAAATTCAATCCGTTCCTGGATAAAATAGAAACAAAGATCACAAAAAAGGAGAATAAATGAAAATTCGCGAGAAGCTTACCGGTAAAAGAGAGCGCGTGGCGGATATTTGATCGAACAAATTCAGGCGCGGCAACAAGACTAAGGAGATAATCGGAGAGATTCCGGCGCAGCAGCAAGATGGAGGAGATGGTCTGAGACTGAGAGATCCCGTCGTGAAGGAAGAGCGAAAGGGACCAAGTGTGAATTTTGAAAAATACAAAGGTGCACACGTTTTTGTGTTGGGTAAGATTTGCCGCCGAGAGAGCCTGTTTCCATGTCCATAAAAACACGGCCAACGGCATCGTTTCGATTAAGTTATTATGAAAGGTCCAATTCATGAAGCCCAATATCATAAATATATTTATGATTTGAAAGTCCAAGTCATCGCATCACATGGGCTTCTCATCTTTTTATCTCCCCCAAGAAAAGGCTCAAGTACGCTGGAAATGTTTCATTTATTTCCATATAAAATAAAAACCCAAAAGGCTTCTCGGTCTGGCCAACCAAGGGCTTAATTTAGTGATTTAGTTTATTAATTATTACTTTAATTTAATTTTAATATAAAAATTTAGTTTTTAAAATAATTTATTATACAAAATTTTCATTAGTTTTAACCAAAAAAACTGAAAAATTAAATCAAAATTAAAATAAAGTAATTTTGGTTAGTAAAGTAGTTTACACAAACTGTATAAATTATAAAAACATGTCAATAATTGTGATTTTTGTTACATATGAGAATTGTAAAAAAAACTAAAACAACCTATGATAAATGCTATAATTTTTCAAACAGTAAAAAATAGCTTATTATTCTCACAAAATTAAAAAATATATTAAAAAAAACCTTAAATAAAGAACTTTATCAAGGAAAAAATGTGTAGTGCAATATTAAACCATTATAAAGAGGCCAAGTGAATAAAACTTATTTTGTGGTGTAAATTATCAAAAAGGAAATCCCTGTTTAAATACTTATAAATAATCTCGTCCTTTAATAAGTTAATTTCATGAATTTAATTCAAAAAATACATGACTCCTTTCTAATCTCTATACTTAAGGATGATTAAATTAAAATTAAAAATCAATGTGCTTGTTCATGGATCTTGAAATTTGATTTTTTGTTTTGGTCATCATCATATCTCCACACTTTCGAGGCCTCGTCGTGACTTGGTTTGTGGCCTCGATTTGTACCAATACCAAAGGTGTCTGGATTTCTCTGCACAACCAATAATCCATCCAAAAGATCAATAACTTCGTCGATGTAGGGACGCTCAGGCAGATCCTGAGTCGAACAAACCATTACCACATCTGTGATTTTAGGTCCATCAGCCAATTCAAAATCCTGATCATCCTTAAAGCTTGGATGGACCAAGGACACATTTCCTTTTCCACATTCTGCCACACGTTTCCCATACTCTTCCGCGGCCAATTCATTAGGAAATCACACACCATGAAGCAGCACATCAGCATTTTCATCTACCCCGTTTTTATCAATGTGATCTTCTGCTATAAACACTTCCCTAATAATTAAACTTAAGAGTATCACACCGAATGCAAAAACATCGGTCTTTCTATAAAATGCACCTGTCAATAAATTCTCAAAAGTTATTTCTTACGCAATAAACAATAAATAGAAGGGAATTAACTAAGAGGATGTAAAAATTAAGACGTTTTAAAGTTAAATATATCATAATGTCTAATTAAAATTATATGATAAGTAAAATATAATATTAATTCTACTTAAATTATGTTTAGAATTAAATGTTCTGACATTAAAAATATCAACATATCCTGATTTTAACTTTTTGATTAACCGATGCTAAGCAAAAAGTATTATTAATTAATTTTTGTTTTGTCATAAGTCATAATTCACACATTAAATCTTGATTAATTCAAAATTAAATTACGTTGACCTCACAAAAAAGAAACTCTCTTTAGCATCTATTTCTTCATTTACAAAACTTCAATTTAAGACCTTGTATAAGGAAAAATGAACTCCTTTGTGAGAATTGTGTTTTAGATTGAATGTAAGTCTTGTATTGAGCCCACATGCAAGATTTACGATATGGTATCGGAATCCAGATTCTATCTTGGAAAACCCATTGTTAGTCCACCTAATAGGACCCGAAGTTGAAGATATCGAGCCTGCATTTAAGGGGGTTTGTTAATCCACATAACAGAACTTAACATTCATAGCGAGCATGTATGTGAGAGGGCATGTTAAGTGAAAAAATCTTACATCAAATATTAAATAGAATTAAATACAAGGAAAACTACTCCATCTATAACCAATTGGTTTTAGGTTTGATGCAAACTTTGTGTTGAACCCACCTGCAGGACTTTTAATATCCTTCTATTTGGATCAATAAATCATTAGTATAAATATTATTAGTTTTTAAAATGATATTAAAAGGAACTAACCCACCCCTAACCTTTTTACATAAATATATATATATATATATATTACAATCTAGATAGTAAAATATTAATTCTTTAAAAAGGAATGATTTCCTTAATATTGGAGCTCTCTCCGAGTCCTTACTTTGCTGTTCAAATTTTAAAAGAAATATTTTTTACATATGTTAGCCATGGTTTCTCCTAGTCTGGAAAGATGATATGTTAGCCATAGCGGGAGATCTCATTGATAAAAACGAGGTATATGAATATGCTGATGCGCTGCTTGATGGTGTGAGGTCTCTTGATGAATGGGCAGCAGAAGAGTATGGGAAACATGTGGCAGAACGTGGAAATGGAAATGTGTCCTTGGTGCATCCAAGCTTTGAGCATGATCAGGATTTTGAATTGGCTGATGGACCTAAAATCACAAATGTGGTAATGGATTGTTTGATTGACGATCCGTCTGAGCGTCCTTCCATCGACCGAGTTATTGACCTTTTGGATGGATTATCCGTTGTGCAAAGAAATCTAGACACCTTTGGTATTGGCACAAATCGAGGCCACAAACCAAGTCACGACGAGGCCTCAGAACTGTAGATATAATGATGACCAAAACAAAAAATCAAATTTCAAAATCCATCAAGAAGCACATTGATTTTTATTTTTAATTTAATCGTCTTTAAGTATGCAGATTAAAAAGGAATCGTGTATTTTTTGAATTAAATTTATGAAATTAGCTTACTTAACAGTGAGGTTATTTATGAATATTTAAATAAGAATCTCCTTCTTTAATTTATAGTTTAGCATTACACTTCTGTCCTTTACAATGTTCTTCATTAAAAAAAAAATTTTGGTAGGCCTTTTTTACACAATTCCATATGTCTATAAAATTATAAATATTACTTTGGTTAAGGGCAAGGCCACCAGGGCTTTTGAAAAAGAAGCCTTTTGGGTTTTTATTTTATATGGAAATAAATGAAACATTTCGAGCGTACTTGAGCCTTTTCTTGGAGGAGATGAAAAGATGAGAGGCCCATGACTTGGACTTTCAAATCATAAATATATTTATGATATTGGGCTTCATGAATTGGTCTCACATAAATAGTAAAATTATTTTAAACAAGATGGTATATTTTCAATTTTAATGTTGATAGGAGATGAATGGTATATATAATATCATTAAAACAACTAAAACTACAAATGAAATTTTATAATTGAAATTATACATGTGGTTAAAATTATGAATTCAATAATTTTATAGTTAAACTATCCAAACTTAATGGTTTAAAAAACTTATTAAGTTCTGTTTGAGAATGATTTTTAGTATTTTAGTTTTTAATTTTTATGTTTTTAATATTTTAAAAATTATATAAATATTAATTAAAATAAATATTAAATATATTTTAAGATATTAAATAATTAAAAAATTAACAAATACAACTATAAAAACTATATTATTAAACTAAAGATTTTTTTAACTTATGCCTTAAAAGTTTTTTTTTATCATAAATATATATAAAAAATATAAAAATTAACATTAATTTTAAAATTATTATTATTTAAATAAATTTAATTAAAAAAATAAAGTCAATGCGAATATTTATTTTTTCTTAACTCTTAATCTAATTACAGTAGTGCCTTTACGGCCTCAATTGAGGGACCATAATAGTATTTTTCTTGGTTAAAGTAGAACCGTAGAAGGACCCAAACAATATGCCTTTTGTCCTTTATGATGAACGATTTGAATGTGCATAGACAAAAATGAACGAAGAAACATAGTATAGGGACTTATATTAGGCTTTAACCCAATTAATGTTAATTTTCCATTTTTCCACCGCACACGTGGCACGTGGTCCTAACCCGACTGCCCTTTGAAAACTTCTACGCAGTTCAACTGGATTCCATTTTACGACATGTTTGGTTTAGTTTGTAAGGTATTTTATTTTTTAATAAGATAAATTTAAATTTTTATTGAAAAAAATTAAAAATTTTTTTTTAGAGATAAGAAAAAAAAATCATAAAAAATTTAGATTCAAAACTTTTAAGTTTTTAATGTTTAAGATCATTTTAAACTAAAAAAAATAAAAATATAAGCTTTTAATAAAAATATTTAGAAATATAAATAAAATAAAAAACTGAAAAATCGTAAAAGACTAACACAAACATGCCCTAGATTTGGCACATAAGTAATCTCGTCCTTCACTTTATCTCTCTTTCAACCCCAATGTCTCCCCTGTTTTCCACAACCCAAGTCCTCCCAAATCTCCGTCCTCTCACCGTAAAACTGATGGAATTTCATTCTTCCATGTCAAGATTGGAGTACAGACCCAGAGAGGATTTGCGGTAAGTGAAGAAGAAGAAGAAAAGATTGTCTGTTTGTCAGATCTGTTCGAATTTTGACAAGATCTAGGAGGGAATGACCCATCCTTGAATTTCTTTTCAGGTGAAACTTTTTCCAGGAGCTGTTGAAGATCCATAACCATCATCTCGTGAGTGTTAGATCTATCTAATCTCTTTCCGTTAAATATATTTATTGAGAGTGGTGTTTGGAGTGGTGTTTGTTTATGTAAATCTGTGTAGATCTTGTTATTATTTATGGTATTACTTTCTAGTAGTATGGAGATTCTTCTTTAAAAAGGTTTTATCATGCTTCATCTAAGTCTGATTATAGTTAGCTGCTATGTAGATCTGTAGGATTAGTGATCTCTCAATCCCTTGGAATTTTGGGTGTGAGATGTTTCTAATGTAGATTTTTGGAAAATGACTATAAAATTAGCCTTTTTAAACAATAATGAGAGGTTCCTGCATCCTAAGATGCAAGTGAACATAACACTAAATCAAAAACGAGAATGCTATGAAGAAGAGATGAAATATTGCTTGTATATAAAACAAGAATATTTTTAGAAGTGGGGTTCAAACTGTTTCTGGCCCCTGTATCATATGTGAATGTGTCAAAACCTGTGAAATGCATCACCAATCTGTATATGTACTCAACATATCATATTCTAGTCTAGGTTCAAAACTCATGTCCAAACCTTTTTTAGTGTCTACTTAAGTTTCTCCAACATCTTTACAACATCCTTCATGTCTGACCTGTTTCCAGAGATAATGTCACAGCACTTCTTGATCAAATCTGTAATCTCAATTGTTGTCTTCTCTGAAGACCCTGTCTGGAGTAATTTTCCATGTACCACATGACCAGATTTTCAATTTGCAATAGCAACTATGTGTCCTGGGTCTTCTGAATGTTTATCATCTGGTGTTGACTTTCGCCTCTTAGTGTTCTCTTGTGGATATCTTTACCTCATCACACTTCATCAGCGGTTGGAGTGAGGTCACTCCAAGTCTGTACAGATCAACTTTTGGGTGCACATTTCCTAAAACATTGAGAAAATTTAAATTGTTAAATTATATGTTCATAATTGAAAGAAGAATGAAAACCATGAAATACTGCCCAGTTGTATAGATTTTGTAGAAAGAACCTGTTCTGTAGTAATTTCAATAAACATTATCAATTATAATATATGAAATAAAAATCACAAATGTGGACCTAAAATCACAAATGTGGTAATGGATTGTTTGATTGACGATCCGTCTGAGCGTCCTTCCATTGACTGAGTTATTGACCTTTTGGATGGATTATCGGTTGTGCATAGAAATCCAGACACCTTAGGTATTGGTACAAATCGGGGCCACAAACCAAGTCACGACAAGGCCTCAGAAGTGTAGATATAATGATGACCAAAACAAAAGATCAAATTTCAAAATCCATCAAGAAGCACATTGATTTTTATTTTTAATTTACCTAATCTTTACTTGCCTCTTCAACAAAGCCCAAATGTGAAGAGGTTATTGGTCAGTACTGCCTTTTTCCTAAAGGTACACCATTAGAGAAGTTTCTCTTACATTGGTGGAGTATTGGCTAAACTACAAGGCTAAAACCACTTACGCAAGTGATGCTTTTCCAGTTCTACTAATCTTATTTACTCAACTAAAAATGATAGAAAATACTAGGTGATCAGAAAACGAGCACTGCCAGATTATAAGTAACGTTGAGACCTGACAGCCTTTGCAACTTATTTCTTGGAGCATTGCTGACAGAATACACCTCAATGGTCACCTGTAGCTTTTTTTTTTTTTTTTTTGAGAGGGGGTGTTGGGTTTTCAATTGATAACGTTTATTGAAATTATTGCAGAATAGGTTCTTTCTACAGAACCTATACAACTGAGCAGTATTTCATGGCTTTCATTCTTCTTCCAATTATGCACATATAATTTAGCAATTTAAATTTTCTCAATGTTTTAGGAAATGCACACCCAAAAGTTGATGT